GGTCACATCACTCAAGTTACACTACATAGCCAAACCACAGCTGTGCTTCACACAATGCCCACTAGATGAGTGACAGCATTTACCAAACGTAAATATTTTTGGAATTTTTTTTAGTTTTTTTGTTGCTTTTGGATAACCAAAAAAATATTGCTAGACAGATCTTTTCACAAAGCCTACCACACCTATTAGTGCTATGGGGCTCTAATTTTCCTCCTTGAGCTCTCTACCATGATATATATTCGTGCCGAACTGTGTTCCCTCTCTCCGCTTCAGTGCTTTCAGCATACCTTTTTAGCGTTGACAGTGGTCATGTTCCTGTGCCTTACTATGTACAGTGGCGTTGTTCCCCCCTCATTTTATTGATCCTCTTTACATATCCCCTATTTAAAAAAATTCTCTTATTTCAAAAATTTCGGTTTTTTGTTTGCTTGAGAGTGTGTCAACAGTGACTACAAAATAATTTTTGACGGTAGCCGTAATTCACGACGTGGGTTCTCTGTGGACAACCTGACTGTGCCTTCATTTGTCATCTAATCCCCATATTTTTCTAATATTGTGGAATCTCAGTGATTTTTCACTCATTTCTTTGTTCAGTCATGAGTGATTTACGTCCTTCAGCTCTGGGCACCAAAGTACAGTAAGTGTTTTCATTGTGCGATTCCATTAATATTTCGCAGTTGGGATAATCACTACCAAACGGAGTTAAAAAATTATAAGGAATTCAGCGATGAAGGTGCTATTTGGTAAGTATAGTGACTCACGCCTTGACTTTCCCGCTCAACCAGGTTTGGAAGATCAAGCGAAAAGCGAATTCTCAATTATCTATCCAACTGTAGTACGCCTTTAGACTCCCGAATATTGGATTTGGGATGTGGGAATGGCCATTTTTGCCTCGAACTTGTAGGTTGTATCTGCATTATTGAATTTTTGTTTAAGGCGATGCAAAAATATGGATTTGTAACTGGCATTGACTATTCGGAATATGCTATTGATCTAGCTCACAATCTGCTGGACAATGCTCAGCTATCAAGAAAAGTCTCCCTCATGGTAAGGTTAATACGTCTAATAATCAGTGTTGGCTCCATGCTTGCCCTCGAGCACTTCGTCATTTGCAACCTCTTATTGGAAGCCTTTAAAGTTTACGCACCTTGCTATTGAAAATTATTTTCTATTTTCAAGTGCATTGTGGCTATTCGTCGAACTAGGATGCTGCATGAAACAATTAGTTTGAGCCAGCTCTGGCCGATTAACTTATTTTTAAAAGAAAATATTGTCAAAATTAACAAGCAACTCTGTTACCGCATAAATGTGGTTCAGCTGTTGTGGATGTTTGGCGCTCACCCTAGGATTGCCCCTCGTATGGTTGAAATTTGAGATGCTTATGGGGAGTGGAATTATGTAGAAGCATGTGAATGCACTACGAAGTGTATAAAGGAGAGGAAGAAGGCGCAAGTCAGTGCAGACGCGTTGTTCTCCTTCGTCTGCATGTTGCCATTGATTTTCAGGGTGTGTATCTTGTCATCCATGGTGTCAGGGATAATTTTAGCGCCCTCAGTAAGGAAGTTTTCATGTTAAAGTTGATGATCCAATTTTGATGTTCGAGTTTAGTTGAGAAATTAAGGGTTGCAATAGGCTTTTTATTTATCTTCACTTATTGTCCTTGTTGAGGATTCTTAACCTCGCGTAATTTGCTGAAATGGGGTTGTTCGTTTTAGTGTATGGACTTTCTGTCGTTTGAGTCTGTACGCAAGCTCACCGACGAAGCTGGTCCCTTTGATGTTGTCATCGACAAGGGCACTTTCGATGCTATCACTTTGTCCCCCGACGATGCCGACCCTATGAAGACTTCCGAAAAGTCTCGTGAACTCTACCTCCTCCATGTCTCCCACATTCTTCGGCCTGATGGCATTATTGTAATAACTTCTTGCAACTGGACAACTGAAGAGCTGAGGGGGCAATTTGAGCGGTTCTTTGATGGCAAGAAGCAGCTCTTTCAATTCTTCTGTGAAGTACCTCCTCTAAATACATTTACCTTTGGCGGTGTCACTGGCGCCACGACGGTCTGCGCTGTTTTTAAACGTCTTCAATAAACCTCATAGTATGTATCTCAAATAATTTTATGTAGGACCCTCATTGTTAGCCGTTTCGGACCTTCTCTAGTTCCCTCAGTAACTCTGCATCTGTTCTATTTGTGATCCACCGTTGTCGCTACAAGTACCTTACAACTAAGTCCACGACTGTCTAGAAGTCAATGTGGCTCAGACAATCTGCAGCACACATTTAAGTCCTTGTGGCCCATTCGCGCTATGTCGGCTGGGCACAAGTATTTGTAATTGCTGACCGCCGTATTTGAACATGTTGGTTCCAACGCAACTGTCGCCGTTTTTTCTGTCTTTGAAAAACCGCCTGTTGGAGCTTCGGGCCTTTGAATACTGAGCGTACCCGACGTTCGCACCCAAGCGTCGTAACTGACCCCGCACCACTTATTAGGGATGACACTGTCCACAAAGTCTCCACTAGACTTGATCGAGTGGGTTTCTCGTGCCGTCAGAGCGTTTACTTCAACCCAGTCGTGCGTTACGTCGCCCCATAGTGACGTCGACCCAATGCCCTTACGTTGTCCCTGTCGGCCTGCTTTGTGTCAAATAAGGCGGTAAAATCGGGGTACATGGTGCACTGAAGGCTTATGAAAAGTAAATAATGAAGGCTTAGGGTATGTAGTTTATTCAGACCATACCCACGGTCTCAGCATACAGGTTCTCCTAAATATGACCCATTTGTAATAAGGCTGTGGTAAGCAAATGAGTTTTGGTGTAACTGTAGCGTTACTCCGGCTCTCATCTTTGTTCTTGCTTCAACATAATTTTCAAGATTTTGCTAAAGCCTTATGCTGAATAAATGCACGGTGATAAAGCGGCCTGTGTCTATATCTCTTTTGCTGTGTCTTCTTGACAAGTGCGATGGGCCAGTGAAATTTACGAAGTAGGTCTATGAAGCAAATATGTGGTATGGAGGTATAGAAGAAATGGCTGTCAGTCTGTTCGATCAATAAGAACGGGGAGCAAGTGGTTCCTTTATTGTAGCTTAAGCAGAAGCCCCCATTGCAATTTGAAATTCCGTGAAATTTGTGTAGCTAGTTGGTGTCTCTCAAGTAGTAGAATTCCACCGGAATGAATCCCAAAATTTACTAGTAAATCAGGTTGACTGATTTAGTTGCTGCCGAGGGGTTCTTTCCGAGACGGTGCTTGTAGCAAGGAGAGATTTGCAGAGCACCGCGACTAATTGTGGTCGTATTTTCAGCGGAGGTGCACCTGCCGACGAAAACAATGGTGATCCAGCAAGGAATTGTCGCAACTACGACTCACTCGTAGCTAGTTTATGTGTTTTGTATTGTGTCAAGGTGCTGATGTTGAGTGCACAAGTGAAATACAGCGGCGTTGACCTCCCGCCATTGAAGTCGAGGTAGAAGGAGGAGGAGGCTCGCCAGCGCAACCTGACGACTGGCCAGGATATCGACGAGGTAATCAGGCTGGTTGCAATCACAAAACAGTCTTCAGTCAGCTACAAAATTGTTACTGTGAAGGCAGATGCGCCCACCCCGTAGATCGGGTTGACGTGGTTAGCCATCAGGATTTAGATGCTATGTTATGAAGGCGGATTTTCATAACATTTGCTTCAGGGGTACTTGGATGGACATTGCTTGTGTGTTTTGAAAGGAAATAGGCTACATTTTATAGCGATTCTAAGGGGAAGTAAGCACATATATGTATATAATTAGTTGATCAGCCGTTTCATTTAATTTGAACTTCATTTGACCTCAATCGTTGCTACAAGCTCACGAGTATGGTTAATAATTTATCGTAAGTAAATTTTTTCGAAGTCTATCGTCATTCTGTAATCTGATGCGGTTGTATATTTAATAGCACCTTTTAATACCAAGTACACCACTTACTTAAAACCCGTTGTTTCTGTACAGCATTTCTCTGTGGTCTCAAAATATCCACGCCGTTTCATGTACCAAAACTTGATTACTTGGGTCCTTGTGCTCTCTTTCAATCACTAAAGCTTCATTGATATGAAATGTCATTTTAAAATTGCTCTTTTACTGGGCAGTAGCAAGCGATTTTCGTCACGATGGGTCAAGCCAATTCAAATCATAATTCCGTCATTTCTTGAGCTGTACTTTACCTAGTTGGCGATTCTGGGCCTGCCGTTTTCAGGTGTGGCTAGGTACTCGTACTTAAATATAATCAGTAGCACTAATTTTATATATGTGGATTTAATTTGCGGCAAGGAATTAAAGTCGGTGAAGTTTGTCGATTAAGTTTAACGCTTAAAACGTGGACTTTCCAATGAAACCGACTCGGAAAGTTTTGTCTCATTAGTCAGCTGGCTGCGTTTCGTGTACATAGCAAATTTTTCTCGCGCAGCCTGACGGTGTTGGTCCTGAGGTCATTAGTTTAACAAACAATGCATCGCCGTTGAGCCTCGCCGGCATGACGCGGCTGCGCTTAACATGTCACCCTTATCTAAGCCAAACAAAAAAGCATTTTGTCATTTCCAGTGCACAATGTGGGCGCATTCACACATTTCTAGATGACCTAATTTTTCCTTTCTCGTGGTTTCTTAGGCAGTCGTATTGGCTGGTTTTTGTTCGGTGCTGTATTCTCCTTACTAACATATGACGCGTTAATAGCAAATGCGACTTTTTTGTTCAAAATTGCCATGTTTCGCGTCGATGGCGCAACCACTTGTCGCAGGCAGCGACATCTTAGCCCTGTTTCGTCCTACCACGGGAATGTGCCTTGGGCCCAAGCTTCCGTCAGCAGAGACAAAGTGCTTTGAACCTTCGGCCTAGTTGACGCGCAGTTACAAAGGTGGATGAATGTGTGGATTATAAGTGAAGTGATTTGTGGTGCACACGTCCCATTTAATAGAGTATCATGTTTCTTTCGTAAGCCAAATTCACGTTTGTGCTATTGACAGCCAGTAGAAAATTTGAATTTGACGATACTGGAAGGTCCAGCGGAGGCTTGTGGACTTATAAGTACAATTCTAGGTTCCCTTCTAGTTTCCTAAATACAAACTAGCACTCCTTCGAATGTGGACCAAAAATGTGCAGATTATAGTCTTCCCCTAAAGCACATAGTTAGCAGCAACTATGCATGCTGCAGACAAAGCACTATCGACTGGCAGCAATCGTGGCGTCCACTACCTAGCCTCCTTCCTTCGATGTGAACTCTTCACAAAGACTGGTCATTTCTATTCCATTGATTTAGTGATTTCGTGCCCAAAATGTTCTTATTTAGGTCTAATAAAGGGGAGAGAAACCAGCAAATTGGCTCCTTTAGAATTAAACCTTTCGTGTCTTAACTGGTGGGAATGCACTGGTGCCGAGGGCCGCCTAAAGTTCGACTGAGAGCTGCGAATTCACTTGCGATCGTGAACACTGCTGTACCTCTCTCTCGACATCATTACATTGCCACTTGTTTTCTGTGTGCAGTGACTTCCATTATTACCTTGTGCCTAACTATTTTTGATTGGTGGCCAGAAATACTGAAAGCGTAAAAAAGTTTAATAATTTTTGAATAAAGTGTCTTCTGGTCCTTAGATCGGGTGCTGAATAAGTCACAGACATATTATATACCCTGTAAGAGCACAACTGCAGGATATTCAAACGAATTTATTTTACAAAAAAGTCCGGTAGCTGAATAGTAGAACAAATGCATAACTGTGTTTCAAGCACTTAAATAATCACAAAGAATACGTGTCGATTAGTCAGACAGTCGTCTAGACTCAATTTTGTTCACAAAAGCCAATATTCTTTTCGGGACGTTTGTTACTGGGCTGCCAGTCAACCCCCAGTCTCTGAACCAGTTCGTGACTTTGCAGCGCGGACGAAAGGTTCTGAATACTGTCCTACATCTAGCAATTGAAAATATGAGGGAGCGTCACCAGACCAACGCAAGATTGACAATGCCGCGCTCCTTTTTACTGGCGTGCTCTCACCGGGGTGGTGTAGGGTCCGTGAGTGATGGCTGACCTCCCAATCAGACCACCAAGTCTCCTGTTTTAAAGTGCCAGGCCGTAACGGGTCTCTTGATGCTCCCTCAAATTTAGAGTTGCCGTTTCCGCAAATCGAATGCACCTGGCTCTGGAATGGAGTAGTTTTAGAGGGTTTGTCCCTCATAATGTCAAATAAACTGACATTAACGTCATAAAATCTGACTGAGTGTGCTTAGGCTATAAAGTCTGCTTGACTTTATTCAGACTCTACCAACTGTATGGCCTTCGTACAAATGATATCGATGGTTGTAAAAAAATGCTTGATGACTAAATAAGTTAAGCCTCCAATTTTGTGGTCAAAGATCTGCTTGTGAAAACGCATCAAGGTCTCGAATTCTGCATTCAGTAAAATCCAAGTACACATAGGTAACTTCTGACACACAAGAATTCGGAAATTGCTTGGTATAGCTTGGTTACACTATCAAAGGTCTACTATCGTCCGACGAAGGTGCTAAGAATTTTAGCTTCTAATTCGCTCGCTTTTTACACACGTTCTTTATGAGTCACCTTTTGACAAACTTGATAAACTGTAAAATTGGGAGTAAATCTTCACGAAAAAATATGGTCGCGTCGATTCCGCGTCCCGGTTACTTTAAACACGAAAGCAGAAATTCTCTTTGCCCGAAAGTGCTACGAATAAAACACGTCCCACAGTTTCAAGTGGGTACCGGCGGAAGATGTGGACCAGACTTATGCCTTTTTGGTAAGTGTGCAGTGACTTCGAAGGATGCTCCTGCGACCCTTCAGGCTTTAAGTTGAAGCCCTTCTTCACTGATCGACGGCGGGCTGCCGATTACACCATCCAGTGTGTCTCAGGCAAATTTATTCAAGTGCCACCTCGTAGCACCCAACGAGGTCTCATTTTGTACCACCACTGGAACACACTTTAGTAGGGCTTTTCCCCATTTGCTTTGCTCTGTGTCCATTGTGCCAAATTCTTCTAATCTTAACCTCTGTCCATAACATTTTGACATTTTGTACAGCCAGGTATGTGGCTGCCTTCATTGAACGTCGTCAGCGATTT